TTAACAACACCGTAACTTCATAAGAAGTTTGATGAAAAAAGGATCATATTCTTTGCAGGACACAATACAGAAAGGCTGGATTCTGATCTGACATTTGTAAGCAATTACAAGAGCTAGACATGTGTAAGAGTGTCAAGATAGAAGAAATGTTATGGGGACCTTCTAATCCATAGGCTACACTTAATTCCTGGCACTAGGCAGAAAACAGCAGTCACTGTCACAAGCCCAAAATCACAAGCTCACAGCCTGAGACAAACCACATCATGAAGGATTATCCGAAAAGAAAACAAAACACATTGTATGTGTCTAGTTTGGACATGTGATAAGAATACTAAAGATGGCAGATGCAAAGAAATTGTTCTAATTGCTGTTTACTTTTCAAGAGTTTGCACATACGAGGTAGTTTTTATTCTTCTCCCTGCCCCCCCCCCCCCCCCCAAAAAAAAAAAAAAAGAAAAAAAAAAGAAAACTGCTACCTAGCTGCCATGGAAGGCAAGCAAAAAAAAAGGAACGGCTATGTGTCTGAGTGTGGATATGTAAAAAAATATGAAGGAAACTCCTGGTCAATAATTTCAAAAGCTGTCAAAATGACTGGGATTTTAAAATTCTACATCATCAAGCTCAGAAGCAGAACAGCACTTTGTCTCAGGGCAACAGATTTATTCCCTTTGATGAAGGAAGCAGTGTTGGATTTCTTTTTAGTTTCATTGCAACTTGCAAAGTTACTTTCTTTTTGAAGAAGTATGACTAGATAGCCTGATTTAAACTAATTTCAAAAAATCAAGTTTTGAAAAATACAGTACTTACTTTCTGTGCCATGTAACCATCAATATCGGTACTTACCTTGATGAGAACAAGACACATGTCCATATGCTGACTCAGTGTAGGAAAACTAATTATTTAATGTCCACTGTTCTGAGTAAAGAATTGTCTTAAAACTGATCATATTCAACTCATTCAGCTTTCTGGTGAGTTCAGCCATGTTGCATTTGGCTCACATCATATTCTCATCCAGAAAACAACGATGCCAATGGCTACATGGTACAGAAAGTAAGAGCTGTGTCAAGCAAATGTGGTGTCAGACTTTGTCCACCAGAGGTAAAGTGAGGTCTGCCTTGTAGATCATTTGCTACATGGATGGACTGCTGATGAAAGGTTGCCTTAAGATCAGCCTTCTGCAGCATATAGGCTGGAATTCTCCAAAGTCCACATGAAAGACATGAAAATATCACTAAATACCAGGCTCATACTTTCAGAGACATCTGTTGGCCAGATCTTTCATCTCATCTGGGATAGCCTGTTTGACATTGCACAATGCAACAGACACAAAACGCTACTGCCATCAATTGCCTCTGAATGTCTTTGGCAACATACGGGAGCTGATATGAATACACGAAAATACCAGTAATTGCTCAGGTGAAATGATTACAATATACTATTGTGAGCAAAATAAAGGCCCTTCCTCCAGCTCAATCACATGCAATCCATTTTTCACATGATATGGTGCCAAACTTGTAATAAATATATATCACTGCTCAATGTGCATAAATGAAGTAAACAGATCATCTTTGGCAAAGACTAGAGTTTTCCCCATGCTGTTTTGCAGCCTCACCTTCCACAGAGCACTGGGTACACTGAGTTTATAATGAAGATATTAAACAGTAACTTAATGAAGACTGGTGCACTATGACATCGCATTGTGATATTTGCAAATGGTTTAAATAGGTGCTTGCACACTAGTGATTTTGTAGAATGCTAGATAATACTGAATAAAATCATTATGACTGAAATCTACATAAAACTGGTATTAAAAAACCCAAACAATGACTACACCACAAAATAGTGGACCATTCCAAAAACTTTTGGACAAGATTTAGTACATTTATATTGGTTTACAATAAGGAAAGGTTTTTCTGCCCTTCTCTCTCATTTCACTCACCCTATCCAACAGTGAAATCTGAAGTACAAAATGGTGTCCAGATATTTTTCTCTTCCTTCACACCCTACCATATGGGATCTCTTAGCCCAGCAATATGTACTCCTCCCTACACACTTGTTTGAGGCCCAACAGATAGCCACTGATATCATGTGTCACTATTTGGCTCTGCTTCAGCACTTTGCTATAAAACACTGAGGCCAGAAAGGAGGGAGTAGGAAGTATAGACTGTTCCAAGCTTCTGCTGTTTGTTTCTGCAGAAGTAGAAAGCTCATGTGATTTGGTATCACCTAGCTGCAGAGAATGGAACAGCTAAAGACACATGGAACCAGGCAACCTAGTACTGAGGATGGCTAGTCTGGGCTAGGTAGAACAGAGTGTAAGGCAAGAATCATGGAAATTTTAGCAGAATATTAATACAAGTTTGCAGTAAGTATTCCTTGGTATCTCACACAGTTAATAACATGATATGGCTGTATCATATACCACTATTTCACACTCCAGTTCCAGTAGCCCCACTATAGTTAAGGCACACATTTCTCACAATCAAACTCTTCAGCAGACAAGATATATGCTTGAAAAAAAAAGAAAAAAAACCCCAACCAAACCCCAAAAAAAGAAAAAAAAAAAAGAAGGAAAAACTGTCAAATATTGCATGTTATAATTCTAGTTACAGCCATCAATCTTGAACACTGAAATGCTCACTCACTGAACAAAGTATATCCTTCATGGGTATATACATTGTAAATTTATCGCATACATTGCTCTGTAGAAAACAGATGTTCTTATATTTTTCAGTACAAGAAGCTAAGGGCTTGAGTAACTTTTCAGTCCCCAGTTCAGCCTGCTG